GAATATTTTGTTTTTTTGTATTATATATTTTAGAATACTCCAGGTTCGTATATATGTTCATGTCCACCAGAAACAACAAATAAAAATTGTCAAAATATTCAATGTATCGAATCATCCTGTTTAAATGGAGGCATATGTGCTCGAAAAGATAACGGTAGAACAAGTTCATTGAATATATTTGATTATTTGTCAAAAAAAAAAAACTCATAATAATTTTAGGTATTTCATTTTGTCAATGTCCAGCAAATTTCTATGGTCATCATTGTGAACTTCTCGTTGTAAATACTCGTCATAATCAAGCAACAATTGATACATGTTTAATAAATAATTGTTCATTAAAACGAAATAATAATCGATGTGATCATGAATGTAATTTTGCACAATGTCAATTTGATAATTATGAATGTACATTAAAACGTGATCCATGGGATTTATGTCCAATAGAAGATTGTTGGCGTTTATTTCGTAATGGAGAATGTGATGAAAAATGTAATATAAAAGAATGTTTATTAGATGGTTTTGATTGTGATCGACAATTATTAACATGCAAGTAAGTTGAATAATTAAATGATTATATTTAATAACACTAATTTGTTTTTTAGTGTAAGTTATTGTCAATCGAAAATATTAAATGGTATATGTGATCATGAATGTAATAAAATTGGTTGTGATTATGATCGTGATGATTGTTTACCAATACAAAATGATGGTTTATTAGGAACGATTATATTACAACTTGAAATAAATAAAGAAATATTTGAAAAACGAAAAGAATTATTTCTTCAAAGATTTAGTAAGAGAAAACAATATCGATGTATGAATTTTTATTTATTTTCTTTTAAGGTTCAATATTAAATAGTCCAGTGAAAATTTCATTAAATAAAGATGGAAGTGAATTAATCCTACCTTGGTATAAAGATGGTAATGATAAAACAAAACCTATTGGGTATGTACTGTTTTTTGTTAAGACATTTCGTCATTCAAATTCTATGAAATTTTCAATGCTATACCATAGCGTTTTGTAGGTAGAGTTCGACGGTTTCGAGCCACTGGAATCATTAAATCTATATTGAGAAATCTTCATTTGTTTTGTTGTTGAGATTAAAGATTTCAGTGTATATGAATAATATTGGAATACATTGTGTCTTTAATATCGAAAATTGAATATTTCTCAAAATACGTTTAAAATTTTTGTATTGAACGGTTTTAGTTCCATGTGGTATTTCGGAATTGCCGAACTCTATTTTCAGAAGATATTCAACAAACAAATGTCAAAAAATAGCTCATTCGACAAAGGAAAATTCTTTGTTGACCTTCATTTCATATACGTGTTATGTGAAAGAACATGTCAGGATTAGGATGTCCTTCGTTTTTATCAGACATGTTATTTCAAACAAAAGAAAAAGAAGTAATTGGCTACAATGAAGCTTTTTCGAGAATTCTAAGATGCGCGAGCTTTATTTTAAACAGTATATTTTTTCAAGTGGTTAGTGCAGAAATTATCAATAGTTTTTCTAAAAACTTACGGTCCCAAAATAAGAAATATCGTTTATGAACGATCAAACCTCTGACTGTCTTCTAAAATAATTCTGATGAAAAAGTTGACTAATCTTATGTGAGAAAGCTTAAACTTAGAAAGTGAAAAAAACTAAATTCTTATGTTTTGAAAATTTTTAGTATAAAAATTTATATAACAATATTAAAAACATGTAATTCATCTATATCATCAAATTGTCAATTTGATAATGTACGTCAATCTGTTGATTATCTTGGTGCATTACAACAAAATGGTGAATTAGCTCAACGTCTTCAAATGCCAATATCTGATATAAATATTCTTCCTGATAATGTACAACAAATAAATGATAAATCAAAATATGTGTATATATCTATTATTATACCATGTTTTCTTGTATTAACTATTCTTGTTGGTTATGGTTTAATACAACGTCCAAAACGTTTTATAAAAGCACCTGTTTGGTTTCCATCAATATTTATTGATGAAAATAAACGTGAATTATCATGGATAAATCGTACAAAAACAAAAAATACAAATTATGAATTAACAAATAATAAACGACAAAAAATTGAACATAATTCATTATCACCTGATTGTGAAATAATACCAACAAATACATTAAATATACCAGGTGGTCCAAATGGTGATATAAATGTATTAGAATTAGAAATATCACGTCGTGATCCATATGGAAAATATGAAGCTGATGAAGAAACAAATTTAAATTTATATATTAATCATGGTGCTGATATACATTGTCGTTTAGGTACAAATCAAGAAACATTATTACATTTAGCATGTCGTCGTCGTCGTTTAACAGCTGTACGAGTTTTAATAGCACATGGTTGTGATCCAAATGTACGTGATATATATGGTGCTACACCATTATTACGTGCTGTATCAGCTAAAGCATTTGATATTGTACAATTTTTCTTAACAAATGCAAATATATTAAAATTAGATATTAATGCAAGTACATATATATATGAAAGAGATAATGAAGAATTACCTGGTGATAATCCATTACGTAAAGCAATACGAGCACATTATAATGATATAGCTGAATGTTTATTAATAGCAGGTGCTGATGTTGATGCAACTGATCGTTGTGATGCATCAGTTGGTGGAAATGAAACACGTATTGGTAAGATAAATAAATTTAAAAGATAACACATGTTTCAGAAGATATTGCATTACATCTCAGTGAATTTTGTTTTCTCATAAAAAAGAAAAAAACTTTTTTATACCGAAAGATGGAGAATTTCCAGAGCTACAAAATTGTTCAGTTTATTTCTCAAACAACTTGATTTTGTCAGCGCAAAATTTAGAAGAAGAAGAAGAACGTCTACTTAGTTTAACAACGACAGAGAAGAAAAAAAAACCTCATGATAAGTTTTTAAGAAAGGTTCTAGTGAATTTTTAACTATTTCACAAAATTCCTCTGAAAATTATGCATGTTTGAGAATCTTAGAAAAAATACATATTTGGAAGAAACAATTTTGAAGTAAAAAATAGATGCAGAAGCATCAGAAAAAGGCCTTTTCTGATTGATCTATCCGATTGTTGTTAACTAATGCGAAACACCATAAATATTTTCATGGTTCAATGTAATATTTATACTATTTTGTTTAGAATTAAATTTTGCATCCGATAGCATAGAAATACATATTTTATAGAGCACGTCTGGCTTTCAAAAACATGATTTCTCAAAGTGGGATCAAAATTACGAACAGTCACATTCTTGTAAATACTAGTCTCGGGAAATTTGAAAAGATCATTAAAGTATAAAATTCTCTATCTATTAATATTAAGTAATTTACTTCTGACATCGGCTTCGATGAGTAAAGGCATTACACAGATCAATAAATGTCAATAGAGAATAGGAAATTACAATGAAATGAGCGACGAGGGATGATCTCCAAGTGTGACGTGCTGATTAAGATGATATTTTGCCCATAAGTAGGTCTCAATGAGATTAGAAGAAGTCTAAAAGACATCGTCACCACATGCTAGCATTCTTGACTTACGATTCTATCTCAGGCGAAACATATTAAATAATCTAGTTATAAAATTTTGCGCATCGATAGATCTTATGGTGGTTTGAATGCCCTAAAAATTTCAACAGAAAATACAGGAAAACGGTTGCTACTCAAGAAGAACAATGTATGGACACGAACCGTTTAAGACTTCTTCTAGTCTCACCGAGACCTACTCTTGTAAATAGATGTGAATCTTTTAAATTCCTTATCTTTTAGCATATAAAGAGTACTTTTTATGCATAGGACGTAATAGAAAAAAAAAGGTGTCAAGATTTAGGAGAATTTTTTTTTAGGACACTTATTATAAACGAATTGAGAATTATAATAAATAAAACTTTTGTTTTTTTCTTGCAGGTCGAACAGCTTTACATTATGCAGCTGTTGAAGATAATATGAATGGTGCTTTATTATTATTAAAACATGGAGGTAATATTGAAGCACAAGATGAACATGTATGTATTTCTTTTGCGAAGTTTTTTGTTTGTCAATGTTTGATTATTATAAATTTATTTAGCTTGAAACACCATTATTTAAAGCAGCATATAATTTATCATTTGCAACATGGGAAGTTTTAATATGTCGTGGTGCAAAAAGTCAAATAGCAAATGAAGATGGTTATACACCAAAATCTATAGCAATGAAACAAATTGGTGCTGGACCATTTCGTTTTGGACCTGATAGTGATGAAGTATTAAATAATATTAAACCAAAATCAGATGCTGAAAAACATTTTATACAATGGTTAAAAAATGAATGTCCACCTAATTGTCGTAAGTTTTTTTATTTTTTTTCATTGATTTTATTTTTTTGTCTTTTGAATTGATTTTATAGATCTTGAATCAATAAATCCAAAAAAAGAAACAATAAGAAAAAAAAATATTATAAAAAAGAAAACAAATTTTATTCATCATTATCCTCAAACAACACAAATTCTTAATAATAATTCACATCCACCTCCAGTACTACCACCACCACCATATACTATGACAAATTGTTATCAGCAACCATTTTATAGTCAATATTCTATTCCAACATCTTATTCACATGTTGAACATTTTCAACCATCACCACCACCATCATCACAATGTGAAATAGCTGATCAAGAATTATACTTTCAATTATCATATCCATCATTTAGTTTATAATTTGTTTGTTTGTTTTTTTTTTTCGTTTTGTTTTCTTTACTACTCTCTCCCGTGTCCCGGTGATTGTATCATTGTATAATATTAAATAAAGCAATTCTATTTAAACAAATAATAAAAAATCATATCGAAGATCATATTACAAATATTTATTTCTTTTCTGTTATTTGATATCTAGTATTCTTATCAATTAAATTCATGTATATTATCAATAGTAAGAATAAGAATACATATACATATAAAGAATGATAATATCAACTACTTTTTGCCTTTAAGTATATATATATATATATAGATAATATGACAGTGAATAATGATTCATCATCATATACAAATGATCCTGACATATCTGTAGAAGCAAATCCTTCTTTAATTTTTGCCTCAATATGGATTTTACGTTTGGCATGTGCATCTATTGCATTTTTATGTCCATGGGCAAATTATAAATTGATAAAATTATTTCAAACACGTCGATTTTATAAAGAATCATCAGCTAAATGGTATATAATATTCAAAGGTGTATTCGATATTACATATATATCGATAACAGTTCCAATTATAATTTGTCTTACATATGATATTGATTTAATTCATCGAAATATTCTAACATGTAAATTAATAACATATGCACACTATTTATGTGATGATTTAATATCAATGTTACTTACATTATTATGTTTTGATCGTATGTTACGAATAACATGTGGTTATCATTTTCGTCAACGTTTTTCATTAACTATTTGTATAATAACAACAATATTTTTTACAATTATTCATATTCATCATTTAATACGTTTACAACATCGTAATGGTTTTTGTCATAAAATATATTTAAGTATATGGAGTTATGATTTTGATATCTATTATTCATTAGTATATACATCAATAACATGGTCAATTATATTTATATCATTAATAAATTTAACAGTTAGTATTTATTGTGATCGAGTAAGACGTTCAGAATTAAAAAAACCAACACAACAACAAGAACAACAACTACAAAAAATAAGTCAAATTTTCTTAAATGGTACTAATTCAAGTGGATTTAATAATGATCAACTTGAATTACTTGATAATACAGGTAGAATTAATTAAAAATTTCACGGAAATTTTTTTTTTTTTTTTTTTTCTAATAATTTATATTATTTTATAGATGATATCGAATCTTCAATAGAATTAACTATTGAACAAGAAAATTCTAATAATGAATCTTTTGAAAAAGAACAACAAGATAATATTGATTTACAAATAACTGTATGTGTTATAATAGTATCGGCTAGTTTTCTGGCTTGTAATTTACCAAATTTTATTATATTTATTGTAAAATTTATTTATGAATCAACTTTTTCAACAATTGGTCATATATTTGTTTATATATCAATTTTTCCATTATTTATTGCTCATACAATAAGTTATTTTATTTATAATCATTTAGCTGCACGTCTTTTTCCTAATAATTCATTTTAATTTATTTATGTTAGTATTTCATCAACAAAAAGAAACTGATTGTTGATTGATTATTCTTTTCTTTTCTTTTTTTTTTGTTGTTTCTATAATAAAATATATTCTTATCTTCATATTTATTTATTTTAGCTCGATTCAAAAGAATAAGAAAAAAAACAAGCCGAATTAATTCTTCACAAATAATTCATTGATATTATATAGACAGTGCTTTCAAAAAGATAAATATAGTGATTTACTTATTCGATAAAAAAAACACACACAATCTGTTCGCAATATATTGATCAAGCATTATTAAAATATTTTTGTTTTTTAATTTCCTATGAATAAATTTAGAAGAATATGACAAATAATTTTGTATGTATTTAAATATGATTATCGTCAAAGTTAATAAACTATGTCGATACGATTTTTTGTTCATTTTCATATGAATAATTTATTGAAAATTAGAATAATTAATTGTTGTATTTTGTAGTAATTTTCATTTAACAAAGTTATTTAGAATGTTCTATATGGCATTGATATTAGATACTTTTCATTTCATTCGATTCCAATGATAAACATTTAGTACAATGATGATTTTATATATTCAAGACTAAGAGTTTATTTCATATCTCAACCTTAGTTGCTTTGAAAAACATTTATCATTAAACAATGTTTCGTTTAAAAAATGCTTGTTTTACATGTAAAGCATAAATCTTATTCGATTTATACCGTATTCGTGATTACTAATAGATAAACTGGTATATGGCAAAGGAAAAAAAAAAACATGGGGTAAAAGTGCAAAGGAAGATTTTCAAAATGGATGATGAAGTCAAGCACATACAATCTTTTACGAATGAGAGATGCTGGAATTATTTTTCTCGTTCGATGAATATTTTTTCGATAAAAAAAAAAAATGAAAAATTTCTAAAAATGGTTGTGCACAATACAAGATCATCCTATCCTAGTTGATAAATTTTAAAAAAAATGATGTTGAGTTCGTCTAGATTATCGTCAATTGATCGATGGTCTTAATAATAAATATTTTAAACAAACAAAATCTTCTTTAACAAATCGATAATTATATATATATATATATCACCTAAACAATATTGATCGAGTACCTACAAATGATAAGAATAAAATGAAAAGTTTTGTTAAACTGATAAAATTACTTTTTATGTAATCTAGCGAAAATGCCTTATGAAAGTGTACTTGATTCATTCACCTTTCATACTGTATCAAATTTTGTTAGTATTTATATTCGAATAGTTGATTAAACTGGTAACCTTTTGTCCTCGAATGATTTATCAAAGGATCATTCGTAGATCGATTACAAAAACTAAACAACGCATAGAATTTCAGGGCTTAAAAAATATGTTTTATAGTAAACTTCATGAGCAATCGATTAATTAAAAAAAAGAGAGGAATATTTCGTTTCATCGCTTCATCCTTAAAATAAAAATCGATAGTTTCAAAAAAAATTAAAATTTTTTAAATAAAATATTTTCTAGCTGCAGGTCATATAGACCTTTGTGGCTTGTTATGTAATATAGATTGATGAAGAGGATTACTAATGATTAATGATTATTTAATAATATGTGTCAAAAAACACATGCATTGTTTCAAAATTAGTTTTTATGTATTTATTTCTTCCTTTCTTTTTTCGATCACTGTAACATCATGGGATATGAACTGCTTTTGCCCATTTAATATTATCATGAGAGAAAAAACAAATCAGGGCTTTTCATATAGTTCAATGTCATTTTTCTACCACATGGTCAATGGAATAACCAAAACTATCTTGCGCGGAAAGGAGAACATTTGATGAATCTAATCATAACATCGGCATATTAGAAAGGTTAATATTCTATTTATAAGATTATTTTGCCATTGGACTTCTCTGGAACCGTTGCGGGAGAATATTAGATTATTTCAGTATATCTATATCTTTTCATGGCTGTTTAATAATAAAAGGAGTTGTGGATTATCGACAAAATTATTTAATAATATATCTCAAGAAAAGTAAAACCAATGTACAAAATATTTTCGTCAATAAAAAATAATCATAGAAAAAGAATTAGAAAAAAAAACATGAATATATTTTAAAAACTAAGATGACATAACTGGTCTGTAAAAGATTGTCGTTGAACAGACATAAAAGATCTTATATATCAAAATGATGACATATTCACTGTGAAACAAATTTTTGAAATAGATTAATAATTTTCATAACCAAATCAACCATGAAACAATTATTCTTAATAAATATTTTCATCGTTTTCTTTTCAATGAAGTTTGAAAGATTAGTTAGTTATTAAGAAATAATAACTGATATGTTGATATATTAAATTTTGCTTTGATAATAATTTAGATTCAGGTATTTAATTCTGATCTTATTGAACAGATTGAAAAGCAAATAAAATTATGTCTTATAGAATTTTATAATGAAGGATATTCATGTTCAATCGGTTAATTTTTTTTTGTTCTTGATCTAACATCATTTCCGAGTTCTATGAAATATACAAATTATATTTAGAATTAAACAATAATTTTTTTTTACTAAGAAGATTTTATCAATCTATTTCAAAATAATACATATTTACTAGTGTTCGACAAGTTTATTCAACATGACAGCTGCAACGCAAGATTGAACCAACGTTGACAAGAAACAAAGAAAAGTTGACAGAATTTAGAATTCAGTAAGAAAAAAAGAGGGATAAATCGATGCGTTTTCGATTCTGTTTCACTAAGATATTGTCATTCATTTGTATTTTATGTTTATTTCAAACAATACATTGATATCGTTTACTTTTCTTTGTTATATATATTTTTTAAAATCTGAATTCTGTCAACTTTTCTTTGTTTCTTGTCAACGTTGGTTCAATCTTGTGTTGCAACTGTCATGTTTAATTATCTGCTCAAAAAATCGAGAAAAGTCAAATACAAGTTTATTTTTAATTTTCATTCAGATTCTTTTCTTATTGATTATGATTGTATTTTATAGTTTTTTGTACGTGCTTTTCACATTAACTCACATCAATCGATGTGATTAATTTATTGAAAAATAAAAAGATATTTTGTGATTTAAAATGCTTTTCAATTGACTATATAATCATGAAGAAATATTTTATTTTACAAATATATCTGCGTAGGTCAAAACATGTAATTTATTCGTCATATTCAAACTTGAAAATTACCTTCATAATTCAAGAAATGGAACATTAGTTAAATTACCTTCTCAACAATCTTTCGCCACGATAGAAGTCTTGTCAAGCAATAGAACGATGCATCGATCGATGATAATGATGATTATTATTACTTTTTCTTTCTCTATTGTTTTCCACCTGCATAGAGAGGTCTGTTATATAGATTAGAGAAACACGAGTTCTACAATCATTTAACAAAGTTCACATGACATGTAAGACTTTCAATAAAAGAAATTGTCGTCTTTTCCTTTTGATATTATAAATAGAGGAATAAAACATCATAAAATTCATTTACATTTCATTACTTTCAAAAGTTCTATTTAGATACGTATTTATCAATATGTATCTCTTCACGATTTTATTTTCCCTTATTTGTCTTCAATTGATATCAATTGTTACTTGTGGATGTATTGGATATGATTTTACTTTTTCTTTCACCAATTATTATTATTATATTTTTTTTTGAAAACTAAAGATACAAATGATGCCAATCAAAATTCGTAGCCGAATACTTTAATTCAATCTTCAACAATATTAGATAACGAAGAAATAATAAATGATGAAGAATATTTTCTTCTGCCACGAGCAGCAGAATTTTTAAGATTTGGTCGACATCTTCATCATTTTCTCGTTTTAATCGTTAAGCTTAACATTCAGTTTGAAGCAATTATTTTGATTTCGTCGATAAGCTCGACCAACTGATTCGATCAATTTTGACCCAAGTCGAACAAGCACGGTCGTATACGGAGAAATACTGCGATATACGGAGAAAAATACGATCGTTTACCATTTTCGTATACGCAGTCCGTATACGGTGATCGTTTTACTCCGCATTTCTCCGTAAACGATCGTATCGCAGTGTATACGGTCACGGCGATATACGATCGTAATACTGAGCCATGTATTACGGTAAAATACGACCATAAACGATCGTATCGATGTCGTATATGGTCGTTTACAGTCGTATACGAAGTCCGTAATCGTCGACCTGGGATATACCACAAGATGCAGCGTAAAAAGCTCTACAATCTAGATAGCAAAGCTTATTTCGATTGTGTACTTTTTGGTTCCAAAAAAAAGCAAAACTTTGTGCGACTAATTTTTAAGATTGCGAAAATCAATCGTGCAGAATTTTGGTTTTTTTGAAAACAAAAAGTACACAATTGAAATAACCTTTACAATGTAGATTGTAGAGCGTTTCACGCTACATCTTATGGCATATGCTGTTGCTTTTAATAAAATGTCTGTAGAGATTAGAATATGAAATGCCATGTGCAACCATTTATTCTGGATCACCCGTTGCCTTTAAAATATAGTGGGACCCACCGGCGGGTCCCATCGACTCGAAAGGGTTAAATTGAAGAAAATATTTTTTTTCTGTTTCATATAGAAGAGTATCTTCTTTGATGTCGTTCAATTCGAAGTTATATCACAAGAATAAGTAGTACAGCATCTGAGCATCATAATTTTACCACTACGTGACAAAAAATACTGAGGTGCTCATATAGTTTTCAAAGATAAGACAGAAGTTCAAGTGATCGTTTGACTGAGACTAACAGTTCAAATTCAATTTTTTCCAGTCAAAACCAAGAGCCGCGTGATGGTCTCAAGATTCGGGGATATTAAGAGGTGTATAAGTAAATGTCTCATAGAAGTAATAGAAAATTCAAAACGTCTTGGAAGTTTTATTGAGTAATAACGAATAATTTTCAATTATTGGAGATGTACAGTTCTCCCTCCCCCCCCCTCAAGCCCCTGCTTTCGTAGCTTCTGATCCAAGCAAAGCTATTTTTCGAAAATAACGATTTTTTTTAAAGCTTAACCAAAGGTTTTCGAAGTCGAAGAACCTGAATCTAAAGATAGCTTGTCAAAATTCTTAAGTCCGACTTTTCGATCAGTGAAAATTCACTTTAAAACAATAGATAAGTTTTATAAAACCTGACTGAATCTTGAGAAATAGGCTTTCTCTAATCGAGAAAAAAACAAACCTGAGAATTTCGACCAAACATCTATAGATTCGGATTCTTCAGCCTCGAAAACCTTTCTTTCTAACTTCATAAAAATTCGTTATTTTCTAAAAATAGTCTTGTGTTAAGTAATGAGTACCATCATTAAGTTTCAATACCAAAAAGTGCTGAATCACTCGAGGTTTTCCAGCTGCACTTCAGTGATATTCTATCCATAGTTTTTGTGTTTAACAGAATTTTCCATAGAGAACAGTCAATAACCTGATAATTCTATTCTTTTAAAATTAATGTTTCTTACAAAATATAAACTTATAGTTCAATTTTGTTTTCTAAAATGATAATTACCAATCAAACAGTTACTTTCCTTTTAGTCTATCATAAAAAATGAATGGAATATAAAAAAATTCTATCTTGCATAGGTTCCTTGTTATTCTTTTATTTAACAATAACTAATCAACGTCTATTATAATGATAATAAATTCAACTACACGTTTTTCGATTAAATTAAAGCGCCTATCGAAAATTTACATTTCGCGCTTTTTTGTAGTGAACGATTTAATTATCATATTTTATCACATACACAATACTCATTTTTCTAATTTATTTATCTATACCTCTATAAAAAAAAAGAACGATATTACAAATTTAATTGCTATATATTATCTTATTGTTTATCTATTAATAAAATATGGTCAAACGACGACAACAACAATCAATAAAAAAAACTAAACCAACGACTGGAAATAGATCAAAATCAGTTAAAGGAAAAAAAGTTAATCAAAAACATGGAACTAAAAAACATACAAAATCTGCAGTTTCAAAAAGATCAGTTTCACCAGCATCATCATCATCATCATCGATAAAAAAACATGGTCATCAAAAAATACGTAAACAAAAAGGAAAAACACCCAGTAAATTTAATCTTTATATGAAAACAACTGTACCACAGTAAATTCATTAAAATAAAACCTTCATTGATTCTATTATTTATTTTTTTAATTAGAATCAAACAAGATCATCCCGGTATATCACAAAAAGATGCATTCAAGAAGGCTGCAGAACAATGGACTGAATCGCCAGATAATCCAAAGAATAAACATCATTAAACAAACGAAATTCACAATACGAATCTTGACTTTTTTTAAAGGAGACTATTATGTTTTCTCATAAATCTTAAAATAAAATTAGTGAAAAAATAATAATTATTATTATCACTAGGCTGTTTCGTAATTCATTCTACATTCTCCAATGAGAGCTTAATTTCAATAGAAAATTTTATTTGTTCTTCAAAACGATCAGTTAGCTTTATATTATGAGAGAATATGTTTTAACAATAATTTCAAATGCACAGGACAATACTATTAAAGATTCTACCAGAGATGCTCACATGGTGAATTTTTACATCCTATCCTATCCTTTTGATAAAATAAGCAAAAAAAACCTATCCCGCCTTGCTCGATCTAGTGTAGCAGGGCAACACACGAAAATTGTTTTATTTAAATTCATTTTACAATATAAATAACTAACAGTTCAACTAACAAAAGATATGCGTTTTACCAAAAATACAAGAGAAGTAAATGCTGATCCATAACGAAATTTTTGATAATACTTGAAACACCTAATAAATCGATAAAGTCATTCAAATTCATTTTTTTTTTATTTTTAACAGTTACTATCAAAAAAGAACACCACCAAGACGCTAATGTTTTCGTAGAGTTATTATTAACAAGAAGAAATCTTTGATCTTTTTTTAAATAAGAAATGCTTTTAGTTGTTCATGAGTATAAAAACTTGAAGAAGTTGATGTCTAGTCATTAACAAGATAATTTATCAATGAATCTAATATATCATTAAGATAAGTAGTAGATGGCAGCTGAATATCATCATCAGAATCAAATAATATGGAACTTATAAGTAAAACTATTATTTTAATGTGATAGAACCAAGAGAATAAGACATACAAATATAATTTTTCGATAATTATTACATTTATTTTTTTATTTCTACCATTTTTATTCGGATGTATATCTATAGAGGACAACTCTAAGTACAAGCTGGTATCATCCTCTGTACCCTATTTTCGGTTTTTGACTCACAAAGACCCTTAAAAAACCGCTCTTTTTAAAAATGAAAACTCAGAACTTTGATGTTCAAATTTGCAGAGTATGAAGGTCTTACTTTGCCCTGAAACAAGGTAGAGCGACAAAAACTTTTTGTCCTTCTCAGCTAAAGAGTAGGGCAGGGTCACCCTGCCCTGTGAATACCTGTGTATTCGATTAACCATCGTGAATACATGTTCGACTAAGAACAGTAGATTTATACTATATCTGCAATATTGTTTGACATTAACTTAACAGAATTGTGCTTTCTTTACAATAGAAGATTATTCTTCGTTCAATTAAAAAATTAAAATTTTAATAAATTTATTTAATATGAGATGTCTAGTTTGAGATTAGAGATGTGCTGAATCAAAACTTAAAGGTTTGTCGAGACTGGTGACTACGAGAAAAAAGCTGTTCTAACGGGAACTAAAGATTATAGTAAAATATGCTATGATTTTTATGCTATTTATCTTATAAATCATATCAATCACAATATAATTCAATCGAGATGACTTAAATAAGTGTTAATCGTTGACTAGAATCTTGTACGAAGTCACGATTAAATTTTTTGCCGAAAACTCAGTTTTAACATATGAAATTTTTTTCAATATGAGCTTTTGTTCTCTGATATTTGCTGTACAAATTGATGCATTTTGGAGATTCCAACAATGTTTTATAGACACATCCAGATACAAAAAACAAAGTTAGAGTCAAATTCAATTTCAATTTTCTTTCATATCCGAGATCCTTGATAGCACGTTGTTGGAATCTCTAAATTGCATTAGCTTGTACAATAAATATCAAAGAATAAAATCTACTATTCAAAAAAAGTTCATATGTTAAAACTGAATTTTCAGTAAAAAATTTAGTTGACTCCGTGTAGGGTTTTACCGTCAACTAAATAAATCAAAAAATGAATATTGAAGAATTTTTTTTACACCTCATACGAATAAATACTGGAATAGTTTTCTCCCGATCGGAACCGCGATGGAACAAAAAAACTACCGAGATCTGATGAGAATCGAAAAAAGACTCGGTCTCGCACGTTCCTATTTGCAATTACTTCTGAGTTTTTTGTAAATTTATCTAATACACGAAAGATCTACTCTATTTACAATTTATAATGATCGAAAAAAATTCTAAACATCCTTTTTTTTCTTTTCATAGTCTACACTTTATTCTTCACATTATGAAGAATGTACTTGCAATGTCATATCCATCGTCTAGATGTCAGTCACGTACGGATTTAATAAACGACATCTATTTAACATGCGTATCGAAGGACATAAACATATTTGATTGAATAGTTAACTTAAACAATGACAGGACAATCAGATAAATAAACAAGTAAATAAGCTGTAAGGAAAGTTTCTTGACGAACTGTTTTCTTCATAAACATGACTCATTTGTATTGTTGATCACTTTGAACTTCATTCCATAGAATATCTTCAACATAAAAAGAACTATAGATCATAAAAAATTCTCTCTTTGGAATATGTCTGAATCAACAACGGTAGATGAATTGTCTGATACTGACGCAACAACAACATCTGAACAACCAAGAAAATATCTTCGTCGAAATGATGTATGAGATCGATTTCTTTTTTTTATTTTGCTTTCTAAAATAAATTCTTCTTTTTTTTTATTTGCTTTTCAGGATATTAGTATTGGTGTAGTAAGTATATATATATATAAAAACAAGTAAAATTACTTTCAACATTTCATTTTTTCTTCTTTAAAGACAACTCGTTCTCGACAACGTGAGCAAGATAAGAAAAATAAAGAGTCTGAACCATCGGAATCAACATCAACTGATCAAATGATGTCAAACACACTTAATACTGCTCCATCAATAGAACAATGTGCTATATGTATGGAAAATTTTGTTGCACAAGAAGTTGGTATACCAGAAAATTGTGAACATTCATTTTGTTTGCCTTGTATTATTGAATGGGCTAAAGTATGAAAAAGAAAAAAAAATGATTTCTATTAATAAAATTTTCTTATTACTTTAGAAAAATAATTCATGTCCAATTGATCGTATAGCTTTTCGTCGTATTTTCAAAAAACATTCATTTACTTGTTCAAAACCATATGATTCTGTATGTTAGAAAATTAAATTTTCGTTTCTTTTTAAATAAAATTTAATTTTTTATCTAGATGAAAGTCAAAGATAATCGTACAGAAATTCAATTAGAAGATGATTTTCTTGAAATGATTGATGATGATATAACATGTCGTGTTTGTGGTGGAGATGATCAAGAAGATCTTTTATTAATATGTGATGAATGTGGTAATGGGTAAGATTTATTAAAAATAAAAAAAAATTATTTTCATAATAAAAATTCGTTTTTTTTTTTTTAATCTTAGTTATCATACATTCTGTTTGGAATTACCTGGTGTTCCTGAAACACCAGAATGGATGTGTCCATTATGTGAAGTTGATCAAATATCAGCTGATGAAAATTTATATGAAGATAGTGATATTGAAGAACTTCAAGAGATACTTTTTGATGATACATTAAATACAACTGAAACTGATACTGAGGTTTGATTCGATATTATTTAGAAGATAACAAAAATAGTATCAAAGATATTTTAATTCATTATAAAGAAAAAAATTTCTATAGGGTCTAGTAGTAACAGAAAAAATGCTATTCTACGTTTCTGTAGTATTTGATCATTCTTTAACTAATAAAATTTCGATAAGATCTGTTTATTAAAATATGTAATCATATTTTCTCGTCTCATCTAATGCCTAATCATTTATACATATTAGAATATAATACACAAATAAGTTTATCAAATCTCTATTGTATTAAATATTCGAAATAATTATCCGAATTATTTACATTCATTGAATCTCTTTATAAAAAAAAAAAACTTTTTATAATGAATTAAAAATATTTCTATCATTACTTTTGATATACTTTAAGAATATTTTTTTTCTTATTTAGCTTGCTGATACTACTATGCCTGTTAGACAAGCACGAGTACGACAAACAGCACGTATGAGTATGTAGTAAAATATTTTCTTAATCATTTAATTCGTTTTATATGTATATACTTATAGGAACTGGTGGTGTACGTAATCAACGTACAACATCACCAAATACAAGATCACGTCGTCATCGTCGTCAACGACAACCAAGACGACGACGTATACCAAATACAAGACGATTAACATTAATGGAACAACAACGACAACGTCAAAGACGTCAACGACAAGTTTATAATAATGTCAATCGACGAATAGAAAATGTTAATGTAAGTAATTAACAAATAAATATGAAATTTTTTTCTTCGTTTTTTTTTTCTTTATTTAGACAAGAACAAGAGATGGTTCAACATTAACTACTTCACAAAGTTTTACTAATCGAAATGATACACCACGAGTATCTATATTTAATGGTGAACCAATTGCTCTGTTTGTATTCTTTTATTCTCTTTTTTTGTTCTTCTAATTCGTTATTTTTTTTTTAGAGAAGATGAACCATCAACATCAACAACGACAACAAGAACTATGTTGCCAACAAACCGATCTATAATTTCACCAAAGTTTGAAATGAAAAAAAAAACAAAATTTTCCTAGAATTAATTCTCTTTCGTTTTTTTAGTGAAGCAGCTCGTCGAATAGCTGCAAGTGGCATACCAATATTAGCTCGTAGTCATACAGAACCATCAATAAGTCGAGAATTAAGTGTGAGACGAACAACACCAACACTTGATCGTGTACCATCACGAACAATTCGTCCACCAACACAACCACGAATACCTATTAATCAATTACCACGTATTCAACGTCGAGCTGATGCACCACTTCGATCACGTCCAACACCACGATTACCATCACCACCACCAACAACAACAACTCAAACATCACATTCAACATCATCAAATGTTCCATCATTTCTTGATAATCTTCTTAATTCTCAACAACGTCTTCATAATTTACAAAATGTTCGGATAAATGGGTAAATATATTTATTTGTATTTTGTTTTTTTTTTCTAAAATAATTATTTTTGATTATTTTAGACCACATATTGAAATATCGTGAACAAGAAAACAAAAAAAAACAAATCTTATCTTCTTTATTCTTTGTTATAATTCATATGAGTTTATGTATATATATATATTGCCGGTTTTATTTGTATGTGTTTATTGTGTCTTTTTTTTCTTTTTCTGTTTGTTAAATCAGTAATAAAGAAAAGCCAAGAAATTCGAATAGATTTTCTAGAATTAAAAGATTAAATAATTATATTATTTGAAAACAAGAAAATTCTATGAATAATGATTTGTGTGCTTTTTCTTTTATAGATGTCGATTCAGGAACAACCTGTTCGTTATAATATTCCTGAACAAACACCATCGTCATCTATTGTGATAAATCGAGGCAATGAAGAGTACGATCCATTTGCTATTGATGATGATAATGACGATGATAATAATGAGAGTGAACAGTTGAACAATACGAAACATCAAAAGCAAGAATCCATTCGGATTAACAATGGGTATGTTTTCTATTACAGATTAAATATTTTACTTACGAACAGATATATATGTATATGCAATTGTCAGATCTTGTTTGAATTCATATTATAGCTATGAATAGATCCCTTCTTGTACGACTAAAAATTCGAACTTATAGGTTACCATTGTTTTTATTGAGGATAAGGTATTTATGGAAAACTGAAAATAAAAAGTTTGAACTTGAAGTTTTGCCTATAGATCGATGTATTCTTTTTCTTAAAAAAATATTCGATTACTTTCGTCTTCTATAATGAAGTGCTGATTGTTATGTGGAAATTGTACATACTGAAAAAGACGTAGTTGTTCTCATTGAAAATTTCAGAACTATGTAATAACTAATAAATTTGTCTATAGGCAAAATGTTTTCTTTTCGACTCTTCGAAAATGCCTCGGTTTTCATAAAAATTCTATAGAAACAGTCATAACTCTTCATCAATAATCTATGATTGACCTATTCGTAACCCGAATATGAAGTTAAAGACGTCTATATAATTATTATTTATTCTATATTAGAACTGCAACCAACCCTGTGATTAATAATACGAATGCATCATCAAATTCAGACAAATTTTCGTCATTACAAACGAATGAACAACAACAATCACAACGGCAAAGTGAAAGCCCTATAGAACATAATAATAATCATTCAGATCACCGATCAAAGTAAATTCTTCATATCTTTTTTTTCTTCAAAATCTAAAAATAAAATTCAAATTCAAATAATATTTTGTTGTTGTTTTTTTTTTCTTTTCATAAGATCACCTTCTTGTCGTAATCATTATTCATCTGATCGAAAACGTCTTCGTTCTTCATCACCTAATTCATCTATAATAACAACAGTAAATAATAATGACTCATCATCATCATTAAATATAGACATAAATTCATCATCAAAACATAAAAAATCCTATCGAAATGATGAACGAAAAAAATCTAAACATTATCATAAATATCGATCATGTTCAATGTCTTCACCATCAAAATCTCCATCATCACCTTCAACATCAAATAATAATAAAAAGACATTTGATTCAAAAGATGAAAAATCTTCAAATTCATCTCATAATAAATCAATACGTCGTTCAGAAAAACGAGATGATCATTGTTCACATCGAGCACGTAATTATCATTCATATACAACATCAAAATATTCATCTCGTGATTATTCATCTTCAACATATCAATCAAATATTGATCGTCGTACAACAAATTCAAATTTTTCTAGTCCTCCTCGTCTTTCTTCAAAAATTTTAACAACTGATGGAAATTCATCTCTTGATAATACAGAAATAAATCAACATGAAACATCAACAGAAGATCGTAATCGAATTTATAATCGTCTAAAAAATATGAATGATACAAATACATCTGTTATTCCAATAAATAATAATACGAACAAAATTTCATCTTCCGGACCATCATTTATTAATACAAATGGTGGATCTCAACGTTCACGTAGTAATTTAATTCAAATAGTCACTACAGAAGCTGCATCTGAATTTACACGTAAGTTCTTATAACAATATAAAAACTAATATGTATACATAGCTGTAGTTATATCAAACTAATCGATATTCAATAGTCCAAATAAAACAAAAAAGTTATATTTTCATTATTAATAGAAATATGCAGAGTAAACTACTGAGAAAAATTTTCTAACTTTTACTCTCCTCGATCAATGATTCCGGTACTGGATTCACGAACTTCCGACGGAAACTCGCCGTTTCCGACTGGAAATGCTAGGAACTTCGAAGCAGGAATTCAATGATCGTATCCGGTTCCGGTCGGATCTGGATGAATCTGGTCATCGTCTCATTGCTTCCAAGTTCTTACCATTTGTCGACCGTATCTCATTCATCCAGGCTACTTTATCCTGCAGCATGCTTATCCTTATCCTACTCTGCACATCTCTAGTGATAAGAATAATATAAAGCAACCGTAGTCAATCGGTTTCTCAATATATATATATATATATAATAGAAGAAAAATTGATAAGTGATTTATTATTGCTTTATCTATAGAAGTACTTCCAGTTCGTTTATCATCATCGCAAGTCAAATCTGAATCAATCAAACCATTATCCGTTCCTTCTATTCCTGTTAAAGTTGAGTCTAAAACAAATACAAATGAATCTATTCAATCAACAATAACATCAAAAACTAATGGTAATACAGCTGATGATATGCTTATGGAAGAAATGTTACTTGAAGAAGAGCAAGAACAAAGTCCAGTAAAATCTATTGATCTCGATAATTTAACAATACCTGAAACTTTAACTGAAAAAATTGATAATAAAGAAGAATCAATGAAAGTCATACCAACAACAACAACAGTCACACCCATACCCACAACAACAACATTATCGACTATAACTCCTGTTCCTTCTCTAATACCATCACCAACAAAAAAACCATATACATTGTACAAAGTTCCACATACAAATCACATGACACCTCCTCTATCATCTCGACATAAAAAACAAACTAAAAAAGAATCATCAACTATACGTAAATATTTTTTATTAATTAACATTCTATATATACAAATCTTTAACTTTATTATTTTTTTTTTGAATAGAATCTGAGTCAACAACAACGAACAAATCTTTAGCTGATGATAATTTACGACGAACATCTCTAGATGAACGTATATCAAATTTATTAAGTGTACCTGCAACATCATCAAATAAATCAATAAATTCATCTACTGAACAACAACAACAACTCGATAATCGAACAAATTCTTCAAATCCAACAACAATAATATCAACACCAAGTGATAAAAGTACTGAAAGTCCTCAAGATATACCATTATTAATTTCAACTATGATGAAAAAAGGACAAGATCATTTATCATTAACAAAAAAACTTAATACAAATGATGAACGACGTTCAACAACATCAAAACATTATACCACCGAATGGCTTGCATCACAAAAACCTGAAGAAGCACCGACAGGTTTTATTAATTTTAATCATAAAAAATAAATCGTTTTTTTGTTTTTCTTTATTTTTAGAAGAATTAATTGTACTTCCATCACTTGTTACATTACCAACACTTGTTTCAAGTCAACCATCAACAATTTCAAATATAAAACCATCACCGATTTCAAATTCAGGTGAATCTGTTATGATTGGTAAACTATCTGAAGCTATGAGTAAATTAATTCAAAAACAAAATGATACAAATTGTAAGTTAAGCAAAAAAAATCAATAGAATTTTTTTTCTAACAATTTAAAATCTAGTACCAGCAACAACAACAACAACAACAACTGAAACAGAAGATACTGTTCCAATATCAGCTAAACATCTTGAACGTATTGAACGAGTTCGTTATTAAAATATGAAATAATATTATGAAAATTTCGGTTTTTTTTTTTCGTTTTTTTTAGAGAAAACAACGTGAAAAACGTCAAAGTGAAATAGCTGCTATTGCTAAAGAAGCTTTAAAACCAGCATTTAAAAAACATGATATTACAAAAGATGAATATAAAGAAATAATGAAAAAAGTCGTTACAAAAGTACATATTTATATATTATGAAAATAAAGAAAAATAAATAAATAAAAACTTCTTTTTTTTTTCTTTTATTCTAGGCTACCCATGCTAATGAAGTTGATCGTGCACGAATAAGTAAAATGATTGATGCATATGTACAAAAATATCGAACAATACGTCAACATAATAGTTCAAAAACTTCGAATGGAAATCCTTCTTGAATATAATAAATTTGACGGCAAAAAAAAGAGAAAAAGAGAGATTGAATTGTTTTTTTTTTTTTTTGTGTATAATTTTCTTTTGTTGTTTGTCTTCTATTAATAATTATTTGAGTTGTGTGTGTGTGCGCGTGCGTGCATGTGAGAACAAAAAGAAAAAAAAAGACAAACAGACAGTGAATGTAAATTGTCTTCATTTATTCTTGTTTATGATGTGTTTTTTTTTAGTTGATTGATCTGCGGTGGTTGTCTTGTTTATTTGCTTTTGTTTTCTCTTGAATATGTTTGTTTTCTTTAACACACACACACACACACACGCATACATACATATCCATCCTTTGTTTCTTTTGTTTTCTTTTTTATCTACACGATATATTCAAAAAGGCAAAAAACAAAGAACGACAATTTGAGAATGCATATATGTAAATGTCATATAGATTGTTTTTTGTTTTCATTTAGTTTTAATTTATTCGATTGAAAAATAAGCAAAGGAGAAGTTTAAAAAAAAAATGTTTATTCAGTGCTTTTTAAATAGTCAGTAGTAGATCTCTTGTTTTAGTCTTTGAATACAAAAATTCGAAAATATATGTGGATTTTGATTCTTTCAGAAAAAGATAAAATTTTTAGTTGATGTATAGTTAATCATGAATTCGAATACTAATAGGCTTGATCATGTTGAAGTAAATGTCTAAGAAATGGATTACAGCATGATAGCGAAAATAGTTCGAATGTATTCTCAAAGATAGAGAACTGTTTAGAGCTTTTGATTAGCAATATTCTACTCGAATCCTAAAAAAAGAATTCAATCTCTCTTATGTCTAATTCGATCAACTTTACTAATGCGTGCGTCAGAATAAATGAATCTCTCAATACTTTGAGATTATCTTTGTCAAATTGTGACGTATATACTTGAATCTTTTCTTCAAAGATAACACGTACAATTATCTACAAAATCTTATGAAAAAGATTTTCTAATGAATAGCTATGGAATCATACTCGATGAACACTACAGTGCTCCAAAATGGCCCACTTTCAAAGCACTTGTTTTTCATATGAACGATTCTGTGCCACTCTTTTGATTAAATATAAAGAGACTGATAAGGACATTTTTGTAGCTCATGAAAAGCTCTATTCATTCAGTGAATACTTTTTTTGAGATACTGTAAATTTACTCGAATGAGAATATTTCTTTACTTTCTTCTATTCTTGTTCTGAGAATCTTTCATTAAGATTCATTGTAATTTTAATTTTGTTATCTTGAATGAAAAATTATTTCGTACTCAGATTTATTACTCAGTTGAACAAAAAGGTTTCCTCTATCATTTTGATACGAGCAGAATATTTCGAAATGGTTTTTTTTTCTGATCTCACAATTATATCTGAATATCTTCTTTTGAGTTCTATTAGAAAGAGTACATTTGAAAATACAGGAAACTTGCACTAGAGTAAAATCTTTTATCTGTTTTGCTAGAAGAAATGAAATCATTAGTTTTATTTAAAACAAATGTACATTTAAAAATTTTCTTAAGAGAATTGCATGGACTGTCTTTTTAGAAAGAATTCAAGTATATACGTCAATATTTGACAAAGAGATATTTACAAAACATCGAGAGGCTCGTTTATTCTGACGCATCCATTATACAGTAAATTTTGAACGATTCAATTATTTTCAGTGCATTCAATTAGATTTTTATAAACGATCAACACAATTTTATTTTATTAATTGTTATTCATTTTTTATCTCAATACATTTGCAAAAACGAAAAATCTGTTGAATGTATGAACTATTATTTATTATTTGATAAAAGTTTGAAATAAGTTGAATTTATTGATCTTTTTTTCTCATTGTACATGAGTATCTATGATGATATGAAATTAATTATAGATGTTGCTTACCATTACAATTCTAATTGCAGCAAGTTTTGGATTTATTTATAAATTTCGAGAACGTCTTGCTTTTAAATATGGTCGTTTATCACGTCCATATAATAATGCATGTGTAATACCTTTAACACAAATGGGAACTGATCAATTTATAGAACTTTCATTTGGTAAAGTTCATTATATTTATCGATCGTCAACAAAATCATCAACAAAATTAAATATATTTGTTCATGGTTTTGCAATTCCAATGCAAATGTGGCAAGCTGTTTTTCAATCACTTATTGATGACAATCATTCTTGTTTAATATTTGATTTATATGGTCGTGGTTGGTCCGATGCTCCACATGTACCAATGAATGTTGATTTATTTGTTTCTCAATTAGCTGAATTATTATTTGCATTAAATCTTCCATATGAAAAATATAATTTATTTGGTGTTAGTATGGGTGGTATTATAGTACAACGTTTTACTGAACTTTATCCATCAAAAGTTTCAAAACTTATACTTTGTTCTTCAGCTGGACTTAGTATTATAAAACCATCATTGTTTCTAATGTCTATTTTATCTATACCAATTATTGGTCCAATACTTTTTAAATTAGTTATGCAAAGAAGTGATAATAAAAGTGTACGTTCACAATGGGCACATCCAGAGAAAGAGGAATATAAACAATATAAAAAATTATTTGAACGAATGTGTCAACAACATCCTGGTTATTTACGTTCATTATTTTCAACAATATTTTTTTTTAATTTTCAATTACCATTAGAAACAATTGAATTTATTGAACAATTAAATATACCTATATTAATTATATGGGGTGACAAAGATACATTAATATCTGTTGAAAATGCTTATAGATATCATGAATTATATAAAAATTCATTATTACATATTATACATGGTGCTAATCATAGTTTACTTATTGAACACTCTAAACAAGCTATTGAAGTTATAAAGCCATTTTTATCCGATACATAAAATGTTTTATATTCATATTTTGGAATCAAAAATACAAAAAACTTCAAAATTTTATATTCTTCTTATGAAAATAATAAATATATAAAATTAATAATTCACACTATACATCAAGATAGAATATAATGGATGATCGGTCAGTTTTTAGACAAGATGTTTGTTTATTTTTGACCTCCTAAAAAGTATTTTCAACGAGTCAAAAGCTATAAGTTAGAACGCTCTTTTCGACTATAGGCTTAGAAATTTTGTCGAAATGAATTAATTTTTGAAAAGTCCAAAAAATTAGTTTGAACGGAAAATTCTTTGTATTTTCACTATTGTGATTCGAAACAAAAGTCAGAATCTTTATTTATATATCAGTTTATAGATCAAGAGCTACCCTACAAAATGCATTATTTTTGTCTTTCAACAAGGCGCCTCAATTTTTGTTTTTCCTAAATACTCACTTTTGAAAAAACCGAAAAGCGTTTTACGTTGATAGGCGTTCTTGAAAAAAATGCTTCTAGCTTCACTTGGATAAAAGCTACAGTTTAGTTCAACATTCTATTTTGTACAAAAAATGTCTGCATGAACGACTCTCACAATTTTTCGCATGTTCAAAAAGGAGCTTGTAGGATAAACAAAAATAGTTACAATATTTCTAAGTTTATAGTCAAAATAAGCATAAAATATTGATCGCGACTTATACTTTTTGACTCGTTTGAAATGCTTTCAAGCAAACTAAAATGAATAAATATATTTACCGGAAACATCGGCTCGTAAGTTCCGTCTACACTAATTCTTTCTGTTTCTCAGAGATTATTTCATTACTCTCGAATACAAAATATCTAAGCCTATATTCGAAAAGAAAAAACAATCTTAATGCGCATCTTTTGACTTGTCGGAAATACTTTCCAGCAAGTAAAAAATGAACAAATTCCTTCTCTACAAACTTTCCAATCATTCATTATTAAGTAATTTAAAAAAATGCATCGAATTATGAATTTATTTTTATTTGATCATGAAAATCTTAGAAGAATTATTCACTTTTCATTATAAAGTTCTATGCCATTGAAACATACAATATTTTCCTAATTAGTACAAAAGAAAAAGAAAAAAAATAATAATAATAATTCAGCAAAAGCACGTTTTAGTCATTTCCGTTTGTTATACATGATCTGAAATTAATTATAAGCATTCATTATTCATTGCTCTTTTTTTTTCATATAATCATGTGTAACAATATAGAATTTACAAGTACCATTGATTAAAACTGAGATCAAACAGTACTTTTTTTTTTTAAAAAAATGGCGTCTGTTCTTCTATCCAACGTCATTCAAATTAATTAATAATCAAAACCATTTATTCAGTTATATATCTCTGAATTACATTGTAATTTCTAACTTATAAAATATTTCATTCAAATCCAGAACTCAATTTATATCTATCCTATTAATAATATTACACATATTTATTGTGTATGCTATTTTTTAAATTCACACGAATAGATTTTTAATATATCCGATTAACATTCTTGCATACAATCATTCATGTTTCCTTTTTCTTATTATTATCTTAAAAATCTCTATGATTAATTTTCAATAGATAATACTTGTCAAAAAAAAAAAAAAAAAAGGAAAACATAAATGATATATAAATTGTAATATAATTACTAATTAAAATCAAATATTGTAATCTGAGAAAATTCAAAACACAAAAAAAAATCTAACAAATCATTTATTGTGTGATTTAATAGGAATATCATTTTTATTCAATACATATTCCTAATGGAATACTTTATAGATCAATAATGCATTTTGTCATTATAAACTAACAGCAAATATAAAAAGAAAAGTTCGACAAGAGAATTTCTCGATAATTTTTCAAAATGAGCAATTTGTTGTTAAAATATTTGTCACCAATAATAATACTGTTGATTATATTGTAATATTAATAATAGCATGAAAACCTTTCTAAAACAGATGGCAAAATATATCGCCTACTTAAAGCATTAATATGCCGATTGAATTAGAGTAATGTTATTCTTGATAATACTATATGTTTTTAGGCGACTCACAAGCCAAAAAAATAGAATGAAAATGACAACATATTTACTATTTTGTGTATGCCATCCAAACATTTTCACCAAATGTATGATCAT